CGTTCGACTTTAGCGACAACTTTGTTGAGCAAGGGCAAAGGTTGGTGCAAGGATGCAAGCAGCATCTTGTTGCTATCGTCCTGCAATTTCACACCGCTCTCGTGCAAAGGGCCGGCTAACAGCAGGCTTGCCTACACGCCCGGAACGTAGCACATCATAACGAGAACCTGTTCTTCGGCCTGCCCTTGCAGAACAACGGTGCCGCGGCCCTCGACGACCGTTGGCCAACCTCCCGTCGCCCTCCTTGTGGTTGTCGTTGTCGGAGTCGTCACGACCGGGACACTCGTAGGAGATGTGTTCTGGGTAGCTACAGACCCAGCACTCTCGTCGTCGACCACCGCCGCCGCCACCCTTACCCCATGTCGATTTCGCCAATCAAAACGTCCTTCGTCAACCTCCCACCTCGTTTACCACCTCCGCTCGGCTTTTCGCACTACCCTTGATAACGACTCTACTTCATTGGGGCAGAGTAGTTTGTCTACGGAGAGAGCTCTGTGGGCCGTTCTAACTCCTACATCGCTTCATCCTTGATGATGTAGCTGGTGAGGATGTCCTGATCGAGTGACTCCTGCATGCCAGGTGTCAGAGTCAGAACGAGAATGGATGACTAGAATGAGTGTTGGTACAAATAGGTCAAACCTACCCTACAAATGTGTACCCACTATAGGCTAACCCACTGTAGCCTAAACAAGCACATCATACAATGTTTGACACACCCCCATAGCAAAGTGGGGGAGAACAAGGGGTCACAAGACCAGTCAAAGCAAAACAGCTCAGGGTGGATCTCAAGGATACCACACAAGTTCCGAGCACAAGCAAGCGGTCACAAGACCAGTTCACATGCAGATTTATAAAAGAACAAGAGATAGAGTAATCACACCTAGCAAGAGTAAGCATGCAGGTATATATATATAGAGATCACTGTACAAGCAAAGTCAAGAAGTGAGCAAATGAGGGACAGTAGCACGAGGCCTAGAACAGTACAGAAGCGCTGATGGTCACAAGGCTGAAGCGCCTTGGTGAACACGTCAGCAGTGTTGGCCCGAGTGGCCACGTAACGCAGACAAAGCTGACCTCGCTGCTGCAGCTCTCGAGCAAGAAGTAGCGCAGAGCAATGTGCTTCGTCCTGTGCTCCAGTCTGTGCTCCCCACACAAGGCAATGGTGGCCTTGTTGTCGACGTACAGCACTGGAGGAGAACGAGGCTGCTCTCCAAGGTCAGTCAGCAGGTAGGTGAGCCAGCGAAGCTCCTGGGCAGCCATGGCCGTGGCGTAGATCTCAGCCTCACAGCTGGAGCTGAGAACAGAAGAAGAGCGAGTAGAACGCCAAAGAGACAGAGCAGAGCCAAGACTGAAGGTGTAACCCTGGGACGACCGCTGAGTAGCCTGGTCGTCTGCCCAGGAAGCGTCTGAGTGCCCAGTGAGAACAGGCCGGTCTCGCCCTCCAAGCACTAGCCCCATGCCCGACGTACTGCACAAGTAGCGCAACACCCTCTTAGCTGCATCCATGTGCTCCTTCCGGTGACGGCCGGTAGCGACATAGCGTACTAAGATGCTGAGAGGGTATGCAAGGTCAGGTCGAGTGCAGGTCATCAGGTACATGAGGCAGCCCACAAGCTCTGGATACGGACCACTCGGCTCTACGGACTCATCCGAAGGCAGAGCTGAGAGCGGTGTCCCGTAGGCAGAGGAGTGGACTGAGGCGAGGAGTACCTGAACCCGAAGCGCTGAAGGACCTGCTGCACCATGTGTGACTGAGTCAAGGTGATGGTGCGCCGTGCTCTGTCCCGGGTGATCCGCAAGCCACGATAGCTTGTCAGTTCACCCAGGTCTGTGCACGTGTGTCTCTTCTGCAGCTCGGACTTCACTTGAGCGAGACCAACTGTGTCAGAAGTGGCAAAGACCAAGTCGTCGACGTACACAAGGATGTAGAACGGCGGCAGCGGGGGTCGGTGCTTAGAAACAGCGACGGGTCAGCAGTAGAAGGAGCGAACCCAAGAGCCGCAAATGTAGTCCTCAGTGTGTCGTGCCACTCACGTGGCGCCTGGCGGAGACCGTAGACTGGCCGCCGGAGGCTCCACTGGGTACCAGGAGGAACGACCCAGTGAAGCCAGGTGGGCGGCGCAGCCAAATCTCCTCGTGCAGGCTGCCCTGCAAGAAAGCTGTGCTGAAGTCTAGAGAGTGGAGCTCGTAGTCACGCTGAGCGGCGACGTGTAGCAGAACCCGAAGAGTGGTCATCTTCGGGGTCGGGGAGAAGGTCTGGAAGAAGTCAACTCCTCTCGCTGACTGAAGCCTCGTGCAACGTAACGCGCCTTGAAGACAGGCGGAGAGCCCGGCGGCCGCTTCACCCTGAAAATTCACATGCCACTGACGATGTTCGCCCCAGGTGGGGGAACCTCGTCGACGTAGGTGCCAGTGGACTTCCAGGAAGCCATCTCTGTGTCCATGGCTGACTGCCACTGAGAGGAGTAGGGACCGGCCATCGCCTCTGCGTAAGACCGTGGGGTCGGGATGTCTGGTGCATCCGGGTCTCCCTCAGGGGCAACGAGCATGGACACGAGATGGGGCAAAGCAGCGGCAAGGCAACCAACCTCCTCCTGCCTGTCCTCAAGAACGTCCGTGCCAAGAGCACACTCACCCCCGACGGACGGAGGACAGACAGGACTCAGACTCAGCAACAAGACTCGCAGCGTAGTCTAGACGACACGCAGCTGCAAAGTCGACAAGCTCAGTGACTAAGGCAGACGCAGCAGCGGACTCAAAGGAAGGGTCAGTGACAATCGTAGCGAGGAGACGTGTGACAGTAGGACTGGCAGCGCGAAGGGTGTCTGACTCCGGGTCAGCAGCGCAGAAGAGAGGACGCAGGAGGCGACGGGAGAGCGACACGCTGCGGAGCAGTGGACTGACGAAGCGCCATCTGGTGAGTGCCTGGGACAGCACAGTAGGACGCTGACGCTGGACACGACTAGCAGTGGTAGCAACACGAACAGGCGACGCTCGACGAGACGCAGGGGACACAGGACGTGAAGCAGGCTCACGTCTCTCAGCTAGACCTCCAGTCGGACAAGTGTACGGAGTAGGCACAGGGAGTGGGGAGGCAGTCGGTAACTGTGGCTGTGACTGGACAGACGGAGGACACTCTAAGGCGAGGAGGAGGACACTGACTAAGAACCTGCTGAAGGAGCGGAACGAAGTACGGCCGTGGCCGTGCAGCAACTCTCGAACCAGCAGAAGCTCCAGCGGCAGGGTCCTCAGCACCAGCAGAAGCTCCACCCTCCGGGTCCTCCACTCCAGCAGCAGCAGCAGCCACCTCCAGCAGCAGCACCACCAGCAGCAGCAGCACCTCCAGCACCAGGGTCCTCAGTACGAGCAGCACCTCTAGCAGCACCGCCAGCAGCAGCAACACCTCCAGCACCAGGGTCCGCAGCACCCGCAGCAGCGTCAACTCCGGGGACCCCAGCACCAGCAGCTCCACTCCGGAGACTGATGTGCCGAGCGTACCACTCTCGAAGCTGTGGGGAAGAGAGCGGCTCCCGCCGGTGGTGGGGAAACACGAGTACCAACTCCAGTAGCACCACGAGCCCAATACGCACCCCGCCGGAGGCTACAGTACCGTGAGTACCACTCACGGAGCTGCTGCGAAGAGGGAGGTCCTCCAGGCGCCTCACAGTCAACTGCAACACAACCAGGCTCAGTACCCCCAGACTCAGCAACGCCAGGCTCAGTACCCTCAGACCCAGCACCCCCAGGCTCAGCACCCCCAGTCTCAGTACCTCCAGACTCAGCACCCCCAGGCTCAGCACCCCCAGTCTCACACCCCCAGGCTCAGCACCCCCAGGCTCCGCCCGCTCAGGCTCCGCACGCTCAGGCTCCGCACGCTCAGGCTCAGCACCTCTAGCAGGACGCGAGTCGACAGCTACCTCGGCAGGCTCAACCGGGTCTACCTGAGAGACACCTGAGGGAGCGGCACCCTGAGGGGGAGGGGGTCTACCACTGCAGCACCTGGCGCGAGGAAGAGAGGCGGGGGAGGGAGCGGGGCAGTGCGGTAGGGGAAGAGGCGGTAGAAGGGCACGGACTCGTCAAAAGTGACGTCCTGAGAGGGGAAGACGCGGTGCGAGGCGGGGTGGTAAAACTGCCAGCCAGACGCATCCGGGGCAAAGCCAAGAAAGACACAGGGAGCAAGTGCGGGAGGAGAGCTTGTCCGCAGACGTGTCGCAAACAAAAGCTCGGGATCCCCAGACACGGAAGCGTGATGCATCGCCAACCTCCCCCGTCCACAGCAGTGTGGGCGAGGTCTCCGGAGCGGAGACACGGGGCCAGAGGTTGAGCTGATGCGCAGCGTACCGGACCGCAAACGGCCACAGAAAGTGGGGGGCAGGCCGCGTGGACTAAGGAGGTACGGGCGACCTCCATGACCAAGCCAATGCGGCGCTCAGCAAACCCCATTCTGCTGTGGAGAGGCCGGAAGCGTGAACGACTGGCGAATGCCGTGCTCAGCACAGTAGGCTGCCAAGAGGTCGGAGGAGAACTCGCCACCTCTGTCAGAGTGCAAGCGCAAGACAGGAAACTCCGAGCGAAAACGCTCTCGCAGCTGAAGACGTGCTCTGCTGATCCAAGGGATCAGGACATCAGGGACTTCACCCTTGGTGCGCAAGGGGAAGACCGTGGTGTAGCGCGAGTAGTCGTCAACGACGATCAAGAAGTACCTCTCCTGGCCCTGACCACGGACGCGGGCTGGGCCCCACACGTCCATGTGGAGCGTCTGCAAAGGAGCAGTCGTCGGGGGGAACGAGGAGGAGTGAGGGGCAGCGCGCTGCCGCCCCTCGACACAGGGAAGACAAGGAGGAGCAAGGAGGGAGGGAGGGGAGGGAGTACCGAGGAAGGACCAGAGACCAAGGTACCGGGCGTGCATGCCCCGAAGGCGCTGCACTGACGGGTGACCAAGTCGGTGGTGCCAGAGGAAAGTCTTGTGCGCTAGAGAGCGACACGAGCAGGGGGCAGACAGCTGTTCTGACGCAGACGCAGACGCAAACGCCGCTACCTGAGGGGACTCAGTGGTCAGTGTGTACAGGTCCGACCCCGGCTGCCGAGTGAAGGTAGCCAGGTGACGGCCCGTCCGAGCACACGTGCAGTGTGTCACGCGCTCGTAGGCAGGGGTGAACTGGTGAACACCCCCATCCTGAAGCGCACAACCCGCCACCAAGTTCGTAGAGAACGAGGGGAGATGAAGACCTGACAGTGTGCCCGACGGGACAGCAGGACAAGGAAGGAGGGTGGAGGAGGTCGCAATAACCGGACCCCCAGAGGGGTCAGCGAGCGAGACAGCGACTGGTCGAGCAAGGGGCTCAAGAGCAGTGCGGTCACGAAAGAAACAGCGCGAAGCGCCTGAGTCTAGAGTGAAGGTGTGCAGTGCCTCAGTGGACTCAGTAGTACCTGGGGTGGCGGACACACAAGCACCTAGAGCAGTAGCCTCACCAGTACCTGGGGGTAGCAGACACGCAAGCACCTAGGGCGGCAGCCTCACTCGTGCGGATGCCTGGGTCAGGCGGAACACTCAGGTACTGGTCCTCCTCTCCACTAATAGTCAATGCATACATTGCTTTGAGAATAACATCAAAATCAAGAGCATAGATATCGATATCCTTCTTGAGGAGATCAGCCCACTGAGGGAGCTCAGGAGCGTCAGGAAACTGAGCACGCCAAGCATCATCTAGGCGAGAGAAGCAGCGCTGCGCAGTGTGCGCCCTCCCGCACGTCTGTCCCTTGCGGCGACCAGTGCGGATGACGTACGTGCAGCTAAGGCTACCCCCCCCACCCCCGTGCTGTAAGTACCACTCACGAAGCTCCTGGGAGGACTGAGGGTGCTGCGCACTCTGGCCAGTGCTAGAGCCTCCACGACCACCACCGCCGCCTCCACCACGACCACCACCGCCCCTGCCGCCGCCACGTCCACTGCCGCCACCACCACCGCCCCCACCCCGGCCACCGCCGTCGCCGCTGCCTCCACTACCCCCACCGCTGCCACTAGCCCCTCCAGCCCCGCCACCACCCCCGCCGCTGCCACCACCCCCACCACCGCCTCCCCCGCCGTCACCCCCACCGCCCTTGCCTCCCCTGCCCTTGCCGCTGCGGCGCCCGCTGGGAGCGGACGCAGAGCCGACCTGCTCAGCACCAAGAAGGTCGACAGCAGCAGCAGAGGCGACAGAGGGGAGGAGGGGGGAGGGGGAACACCCCTCGAAGAAAGGGGTGCGGGGTTCGCCACGAGAGGCACCTACAGCTACAATACTCTTCTCAGCTGCAAGAAGTTCCTTCTCTAGGGCGGCAATGGTGAGCTCAGTGGGCAGCGAGCTAGGAAGTGGTCCCTGACTGTACGCAGAGTGTCAGGGAGGCGGGTGACTAGGTGGTAGAGAGTGAGCCAGAGCGGGGGAGGGTTGGAGGCAAGAAACTCAGCGGGCATGGCTGCACGGAAGCGGGCATCACTAGTACGGAGGTGAGTGATGAGGTCAGCGACTGTCTGGAAAGCGGACAGGTCGGGGAACAGGTAGGGAAGGGAGAGACGGCCTAGTGCAGCTGAGGCCGGGGAGGAGTAGCGCGCAACTACAGCAGTGTACAGGGCCTGCGCAGTCTGATACTGGCCGAAGTGCTCACGCTGATCGACTGGCAGGGAGTTGCGAATGGCAAAGCGGGCGTGGGCATCGCGAGTCTGCCACTGCGAGCGAGCAGTAACGATAGCAGTAGTAGCAGGAGCAGGGACTGTGCCTAGTGCGTGATCGTACAGCGAGATATACTCTCTGGCAGTGAGCTGGAGGAACAGGTGCAGATCATCGAGCCAGGTATCAAACTTAATCAGGCGTCCCTCAGTATCGAACGAGAGAACTGTAGGGCTAGCCATAGCTGAAGCAGTAGCAGTGGCAGCAGTAGTAGTAGCAGGAGTAGCAGTAGCTGCAGTGGTAGTAGCAGTAGAGCGGCGCGGCTCGGCTAGGGCGGCGCGGCTCGGCTAGGGCGGCGCGGCTCGGCCGGGTCGCGCGGCTCGGTCGGGTCGCGCGGTTCGGCTCGGTCCTAGAGGGGCGAGCGCGGGGCCGGGTGGGGCTGCTAAGTGAGAGCGCGGGGCCGTCCAGGGCGAGGGCGAGGCCGTGAGAGGCTAGCGCGGGGCCGACGGGGACCTTAGGGGGCTAGCGCGGGGCCGACGGGGGCCTTAGAAGGCTAGCGCGGGGCCGATCGGGGGCCTTAGGAGGCTAGCGAGGGGCTAGCGCGGGGCCGACGGGGGCCTTAGGAGGCTAGCGCGGGGCCGATCGGGGGCCTTAGGAGGCTAGCGCGGGGCTAGCGCGGGGCCGACGGGGGCCTTAGGAGGCTAGCGCGGGGCCGATCGGGGGCCGTGAGAGGCTAGCGCGGGGCCACACGGGGCCTTGAGAGGCTAGCGCCGGGCCGTAAAGGGCCTTAAGAGGGCGACGCGAGGGGCCGTGAGGGGCCTTAAGGGGCGACGCGAGAGGGCCTTAGGGGGCCTTAAGAACGAGGCGCTCGAGGCGCAGGAAAAAAGGCGGCGCACGAGGGCGCGGCTAGCGGAAACGGTGGGCCCTATCGTTTCGGTCCTAGGTGGAACCTAGGCTCGTAATACCATGTCAGAGTCAGAAACGAGAATGGATGACTAGAATGAGTGTTGGGTACAAATAGGTCAAACCTAACCCTAGAAATGTGTACCCACTATAGGCTAACCTACTGTAGCCTAAACAAGCACATCATACAATGTTTGACACCAGGCATCGCCATTATTCGGCGCATGAGATTGTAGTCGCTCAGCAAACATTTGATGATGTGTGTAATGTACGACACTGTTGGGTGCAAATTCACATTGCACGACATCCTGCCGTCTGTTTGTACGAGTATGCGTGTGCAAATGCATTTGCGTGTGAATGGTATGTTCGTGTGTTTGTTTGCTTTCGCAATTTTCGCTTGAAGCATTTGCAGGTACTTGCACAATGTGCGCTTCGGCATAACATTGTACGCGCTATGAACAATACAAGCAGAAAGGACGAGCTCGCAAAGGAACCCAAGATGGAAGCTTTGTGGTTCGGCTTACTTGATTGCGCAGTTTCAGTTCTATCCAACTCGAAATTGTACTGTTTTGTTTGGTTGACTATAGTGTAGCAGGGCAGGCACTATAGGGGTACAATTTAGGTGAAGGTTGGATGTTGTTTGTCTGTATCTGCATGCTACAGGGCCAGGGGAAACCAGCGGAACCAGCATTTGGCTGGTTGGGCAAAGACAAAACAGGTTCTGTTTTTAGGACCTGAACCTGGTTGTTGTTTTCCCAGGTTGGAAAAACAGAACCAGAGGTTGTTCACCAACCTACCACCTGCTATTTTGTCCAGCCAGGTTGGTTCTGTTGCTTGGAATTATTTGGGATCATCCCTGGTTGTTCCCAGGTTGATTCCCAAGGTCCTTGCTAGCTAGAACTATATATTCCTTCTCTGTTTGTACCTGAATATAGTGAAATTGATTCAAGCAAATTCCTCCCTTCTTGGAATTTCGTTTCTACGCGGTGCGACGGCGGAATGCTACCCAAGTCAACGCTAGTACGCTAGCACTCCAACGCTAGGCAAACGCTCTCAGAGCTATAACTTCGTAATGGCAGAACTTTTCGCGAGGCAACTTGGCTTATTTTAAGCTCTTAGAGCGACCTTCGATATAGTAAAGTCTCAGCTTAATCCGATCAACGGTCTACACGATACGCTGCGCGACGTTCAAGGTACTCTTGCTGTTTTGACTAAGTCCCTCTTGATCCCTCTCTCTACAAACTCGGACCCGAGGATAGGGGCTGGATTTGTACCAGGCACCCAAGGACCCTTAGAGGTGACCCCGAGGAGAGGTTTAAATGTGATAAAGTCTTAATAGCTTGAGTTTATTAGGCCCTTTCACCAACAGGACGGTGAATCCGATCTACGTCAAGACTCACCAGCAGCCAGCAGACTTCCTCACCAAGAGGCTTGCGGATGAGCCTCATTGGCGTTGTGTGCGCATGACTGGAATGAGCATGAACTAGTATGGAATGATGGGGATGCAGCCGGCAGGCTGAAGGGGAATGTGTTGGGTGCAAATTCACATTGCACGACATCCTGCCGTCTGTTTGTACGAGTATGCGTGTGCGAATGCATTTGCGTGTGAATGGTATGTTCGTGTGTTTGTTTGCTTTCGTAATTTTTGCTTGAAGCATTTGCAGGTACTCGCACAATGTGCGCTTCGGCATAACATTGTATGCGCTATGAACAGTACAAGCAGAAAGGACGAGCTCGCAAAGGAACCCAAGATGGAAGCTTTGTTGTTCGGCTTACTTGATTGCGCAGATTCAGTTTTATCCAACTCGAAATTGTACTGTTTTGTTTGGTTGACTATAGTGTAGCAGGGCAGGCACTATAGGGGTACAATTTAGGTGAAGGTTGGATGTTGTTTGTCTGTATCTCCATGCTACAGGGCCAGGGGAAACCAGCGGAACCAGCATTTGGCTGGTTGGGCAAAGACAAAACAGGTTCTGTTTTTAGGACCTGAACCTGGTTGTTTTCCCAGGTTGGAAAAACAGAACCAGAGGTTGTTCACCAACCTACCACCTGCTATTTTGTCCAGCCAGGTTGGTTCTGTTGCTTGGAATTATTTGGGATCATCCCTGGTTGTTCCCAGGTTGATTCCCAAGGTCCTTGCTAGCTAGAGCTATTTATTCCTTCTCTGTTTGTACCTGAATATAGTGAAATTGATTCAAGCGAATTCCTCCCTTCCTGGAATTTCATTTTCTACGCGGTGCGACGGCGGAATGCTACCCGAGTCAACGCTAGTACGCTAGCACTCCAACGCTAGGCTAACGCTGTCCGAGCCATAACTTCGTAATGGCAGAACTTTTCGCGAGGCAACTTGGCTTATTTTAAAGCTCTTAGAGTGAGCTTCGATATAGTGAAATCTCAGCTTAATCCGATCTACGGTCTGCACGATACGCTGGGCGACGTTCAAGGTACTTTTGCTGTTTTGACTAAGTCCCTCTTGATCCCTCTCTCTACAAACTCGGACCCGAGGATAGGGGCTGGTCTTGTACCAGGCACCCAAGGACCCTTGGAGGTGACCTAGAGGAGAGGTTTTAAGTTTTATAAAGTCTTAATAGCTTGAGTTTATTAGGCCCTTACCCCAACAGACACCATGGATTAGTCAATGCCAGCCATTTCCATGATGGCGAAGATTCGTCGAGCTCGGTTGTAGTAGTCATTCGCCAACACTTGCTTTCCCATCTAGAGGTGGGTCAGCTGCTCCTCCAGCTGCCCGATGTACATGTCGTCCGTCGCCGAGTACTTCGACACGATGAACCGCCAAGCATGGTGGCCGGCATCCAGTCAAAGTCAACACTGCTTCTGAGCTATCTGCACCATCGACAAGCAGCACCTCAAGATGACCATGAAGGTCAACAAGCACTCCGTATAATTAGGCCTCATCGACCTTGCAGCGGCGCAGGCACAACGATCTTGCCTAGGAAAAGCTTGAAGTAGCCTTACGCTAGCGCGATCCCGCCCGCCTTCACATGAGTCATTGACGAGGGCCTCCCACTGTTTCGCTGAGGAGAGTGTCGTCGCCCGTCAATGTCGACATGCGAGCCGTCGACCGCTGCACTTGCACCTGGCTCTTGCCGACGCCACCGTTGGCCCTGATCATACCTCTCCTTTTGTGCCCTCACTGCCCCCAACTTGTTCACCATCGTCGACCTCCTCGGCGATGCCACCTTTGTTTCGCACCAGTCAAATAGAAGTAGGTCAAGAAGGGTGTTCCGTTGCGCACAGATCCGTAGGAGAACCACCTCTAAGAAGAGCACCGGCCCAAACTCGCCATCTCCATGGCGTCTCTTTGCATCAGCCAAGCGTGCCTCCAAGGTGTTCCCAACCGCACTGGCCGTTGCCGGGATAGTTGTCATGGTCTGCACGGGCTGTCGGGCTACGAACAACTTAGGTAGTGCAAAAGTCGGATCCTACCCGAAGGTAATATGTGGGGCTGTCTACGCTCACCACACCATGTGCAGAATCACTCTACACCAAGAGCTGAACTATGGGAAATGCAAGGGTTCTAGGACTGATCATATCGTTTGCTTGTGTTCTCTATATGCACACATTCACGGAAACAAATGGCAATAGTTTCACTAGCAAAACCAGGATTACAGAATAATTACAATCACAATGGTAAGAATGGCTACATCACAGCCTAGCAACCCTTCAGACAAACTGGTCAACCACAAGTGCAGCACAGTCGTCAGTCTGTCAGCGTTGCATAGAGGCACCTTGCCAGCGTTGTAGAAAGGCGACCTGCCAACAGAGCAAGTTCGCGGCTTGCCAATGTTGCACCGTGGCGGTGTGCCAACACTATAATAGAGTGGTCTACCGGCATTGAACCCGCAGGTGATAGTCGCACATGTGTGCACCTACTTTGCATGTGCGCAGCGATGGTCGAGCACGTTTTCTACCGCCACGTAGTTGACAAGTTACCACGTACCGACAATCACGCTTGATGCTCCACGTCGACCTCGGGGTACTAGCCCGAGGTCGCCTTCGCCTTCGTAGCCTTGATGAGCCTCGTCTGCCTTTACAGAACCTTGTCAACCAGGTAACCTGATCGACCAGGTCGAGCACCCAGCGCCCTGGTCAATGACCTCCCTCGTCGACCACTACTCCCGTCGCGGATCACGCCGGTCGACAGACCCCTCCATGGACCAACTCGGTCAGCTGCTGCCGTCGAGCTCCCGTACTCGACGGCCCCTCGCAAGTTCTGCGCATAATTTGACGAACTGCTTCGTCGACCTCCCTTGTCAAACTAGGCCACCGGTTTCCCTTCGACGGAGGCATCACAGCCGTCGCCCGTGATAGAAAGCGT